CGGCTTAAATCGAATCTTTGTTTTCCGCTTTATTTACGCATAATGCCATTGCATTTATTATTACATAACAATTTATGAAAATGTAGCGAAAATAAAACGTATATGAATAACTTAATGCAAAGGCTATTTATTACAAATCCCGCATTAAGTGCAAAATTTTCAAATTTCACCTAATTGCAATGGTATGCGTAAATATATTCAATACGTTTTAGGATTCGATTTGATGAAAGTGAAAAATGAATTAAATTCCATCTTCCAAACATTGTTATTGGACATTGACAGATGGACTGACGTAGTCAAAAATTTCGTAAATCGATTTTCATTCTTAGGCGTATGGACTTTTTATAAACAGTACGGCTTCTCTCCGAACATTGTTCTTCAATTACTTCCAGTAACACTGGTCGGATAGACGGACATAGCTAAAGAGATTTCAAATCGATATATAACTAAGCAATAGATATATAGGCTTTTTCATGAGAATAGTGTTCCTCAGCGAATCTTGTGCAGTGCGGCCTGCTTGCAAGAGAGGAGACTTTCAATGGTTTTATTATTTATCCAAAAGAATATAGTCGGCCAGAGTATATGCGATAGCCATTATTTGTTTGAATCTGGCCTTGACCAAACAATTTACTTTTACTGTTATGATATAATTTATGAATTGACTAAATCCAATTATTTTACGAAGAGAAGTCGAATTTTGCATTTTCCTCAATTCATTTAACGGCCCATAGACTAAACTTTCGCCTTTTGTTCTATTATTTGTATAATACTTGTAGTCTTTCAGTGTTTGTTTTCCATATAACGTGTGATCTTTTCCTCCAAGTACACTGGAAATTCATTGCAAATGTACCCAGTGTGTCCCAAGATCGATGAGAAACAGCCCCTTGTAAAAATTTCTTTACTCTATTTCGCTATTCTGTTCTATGTGTCCGCGAACTTCATGAAGAGCATACGCATGCGCGTGAAATAAAGGCGAAAGAAGAGTAACTTTAGCAATTTTTAATGAAGTGTAGACTATCGCGTTATTAAAAAGTCGATTTTGATAATTTGAAATCTAAAGAGAATTCAAAACAAATGAAACTAAATCATACCCAGAGCAGAAATCAAACGGAAGCGCTTTCGTCTGCGAAATATGTTACTCTGCCGTTAACAGAGTCCGAGATTAGGCATTTGACAAGTCGGGTAAGAAAAGGATCTTGTGAATCATGGCTGGTCTAGTGGTGCCCGATGTAAGGAAAAGACATTAATATAGTTGACCTTGCTTGGTGTCAACGGTATTTTTGAAATATTATTTGGAAAATGATCGTCTTTCGGATATTATGGGATTTCCGCTACTTGTTGAGTAAACTTTTATTTATTCTTTTTTTTTTTTTTTTTTTTGGGAGAAATTTTTAAAACAATTATCTTCACATATGAACTTTCAATTGTTGATGGACTTAGTAATAGCGTTTCGACATGCTATGCTCTCTCTATCACGTATCTTGTAAATGTTACAAATGGAATTGTAACTTTTATTTATTATACAGAGAAGAGAATACATTTTTTTTTTTATTTTCATTTTTATTTTTATTTCATTACATATCCATCCACCTTCGAAGGTATATATCTGTTTAACTCATTTATATATGTATTGGTAAGATTGTGTGTGTCATAGAAAACTTCTGTACCATCACTCTATTGACACACGTCTTGTTGTGTCAACATTGCAAAGTCTACTCTTGCCTCTGGCATATCTCCTGTAAATGGTGGACAGTACTTAATCAACAAACACGCATAATTAATATATTTATATATGTTAGTGTATAAAATAAGATCACATCAATTGTTATAGTCTCGTGTTCGAACGTGAAACAATATTGATTTTTGTCACTTTTGTATAATATTCTCAGTTCATTTATTAGAAATTAACAATAGCTACTAAAAAAGAATAATGGAAAAGAAAAAGGGCAAAGAGAGAAAAAGAAAGGAAGAGAGAGAGAGAGAGAGAGAGAGAGAGAGAGGACACACAAACAAGTAGGAGAAAACTATTCCATTCATCTTAAGAAAAGCCTTCATTTAATACTCACTCCGAATATAATAAAGAACATTATGAAGTAACCTAGAGAGAGTTAATCAAGAAGCGGCTGTACAGGCCCGAGTACAGTGAGTCTCTCAAACTTGTCAAGTTGAGAAAAGAGCCCTTTTTAGATTTAGAAAAAAAAAACAAAGAAGATACCATTAAATAGTGCTATTGAGATCTAAAAGTCTATAGCAGTTTCTATGATCTAAAAATGCTTACTATGTGTCTCTTAAGGTTCGGCGCAAAAATGGTCTTGCCTTTTCTATTGATACGTATGCAATCATGATAATAAATCTGTTGCTCAAATTTTATATCAGATACCGAATGCTTTTCACTGGATCCTTGTGTCTGCTACCAAAGAATATTTCATTTTCCCTTCCGTCTACAACGTCCCAAACCACACATCAGAGACTATATGTAAAGATTAGTTTTTGGCCATGATTCATAAGTCTGTCTGCTTATTTGCCGTCAGTTGCTAGTTATCATTTAAAGGCTGAGTTACACTCTTCAGCTCAAATTGTTAATCTGTTTTATCAATTGTAGGCGATTAGGGCTGCGATATACGCAAGTAGCTAAGGAGCGTGAATGTCTACCGGGTTTAATCCTCAGTGCAGTAAACTATACTTTAATAACTTGATATGTGATCGTAGAGTGAGTGTAGAGTGAGTGTTCAGGCGGTAATATTTACCGATACACCTCCCTAGCGCAACTGTTCTCTATATCTCTTTTCACCTTTCTCTCCGACCACAGTGTTACACGTATAGAGTCGCACACTGAGTGAATGGTCATGTAAAAAAAAAAAAGTTTAGTTAGGCAATCGATACCACTCGTACGCCAATAACGGATTTTTAACGTTTTTCCTAAATTTTAAGACAACTTGCAGTTTTGGATGTATTAAGGATGTAAGGCTTGAGATGAAGACACCTATTATTCAGAATACCTATCAAAAAGCGAATCAGAAAGTGAAAACTTGTCTGTTTGGCTGTCCATCCGTCCGTCTTGTTTTATTTCCTCAACCGTCAGGTCACAATTTTTGGAAATATTCTGATGACAATTGGAAATGCTGACACATTTTGGCTCAAGGACGAATATTATTGAAAATGATTCGCATCGCAACACACTCCCATATAACACTAATGGATTACCGTATCCCACTGTTGCACTTTTTCAAATATAAATATTCTAACTCCCTATAACTCAATATAATTTAATATTTTCTAACTTAAGTTTTCAGTATTTTATTCATATATAATCAAGTACTTAGTATATTCAAATACCTACATAAGCTTTGCATATTTTTTGCACTTATATTGAACCCGGAAAATATCCAACCAAAGCCTTTAATGTTATTATTATCCAATGTTCAAATATATAATGCAAAATCCTTTATAAATGATGACAACAACAAGTAGAACTTGTAAAAAAACGACCACTTGCTTATAAATAGGGACTATCTGCCATAAAAATATCGACAATTTTTGCAACAATTCAAAATCGCGCATACCTTTTAGGCTCTCTAGACTAGTTTTCTTTCTTTCTCATATTTACAAGTGCTATTAATATATTTCACTCTTTTTGATATTTGGTACTGAAATTGAGTGTTCTTGGATGTTCGTAACTCTTGAATGAACAATAAAACTGTACATTATATTAAGTAGAAAAAAATTATATGCAATTTGGCCAAACGTTTTCAAAGTTTAGCTTGTATTGAAAAAGAAGGGAACTCTTCAATAAATTATTTCATATCGTAAGTTATAAATATATATATATATATATATAAATAATATACAAACTTTATTCTTAGGTGGACTCTCTGTTCCATCTTTATCCAACTTTATCATCTGTTACTTAGCTAAATCCCTATGATATGTTATTTACATACGAATAACATCTCCTAGACTTCCACATATCTACATTCTCTTCAATTCTCGAGATCCAAAGCTATTAATACGGAAAAATCGGAGAGTCTAAGGAATGTTTTTTGGTTTCTTTCCTAAACGCAGCCGATGATTTGGACTATATTTGGACTAATTTTTCAGATCAATTTCGTTTCGTTTGCAGTCATTGTTGCCATTTCAAGCGGCAATAGGCAGGCAAACATGTATTGATGATTTCAGTATTGACGTCGATTCAGTGATACAGTGCGTCTCCGTGACAAGTTTTTCCAAGTTTTACACACTAACGTGCGAGAAAATCAATATTTCTCCATAGAGGTATTTAATACGCTCCTGACATTCGAATAATTTAATTTATATTTCAAATTTATTTCAAAGCTCTGATCAGCTTGGCTTTAAGGACATCTTCCGTTAACCATGGACGGATCATAGCTTCTTTAATCGGTCTCTATGTGCAGACAGACAAATTGCATATCTATTTATTAAATATAGATTTACTTTCCTAAGGCACAGATACAGGCACAGGTGACAATAATTGAGAAAGTAAGCATTCGACCATTTTTGATTGTTTAACGTATTCACGTGACTCTAACTAAATAAATAAAATGCGTATGAGTGCATGTAAATGTGAGCCGGTTATTTTATGTTAATAACTTCTTGAGTGAATGATTGAGACGAAGCACCAACAGCACCAAGTAGCACAACTCAACAATTGCCGATCGGTTTGAGCTTAGCTCTGAGTGTCATAAAACGTATTCATATATACATTTTAATCCATTCAACAACATTTATATCAGCGTCATATGCAATTAGAACTAAAGTTTCGCTCTTATAACGTAAAGTGTCTTACGGGAAAAATGAAAATTTCATTTAAATCTTGGTGTTGGCATATAAAGCATTCGAGCTTAATATTGAAAAATTTAAAACAAAAAAAAAACCCATTGTAAATTCGTGTAAATTTAAAAAAAAAGTGTTTAAAATGTTTTAATAATAATTTAAAAAACGATAATAAAATAAAAAGTATTATGATATTTGCCGAGCATGTGCCAGAATATGACAGATCAACCGTTAATAAGTTTAACTAATGAACAAACACCGACGGCTCTTATACCAACTGCTACGACAATTATAGCCGACGGTGCTGATAATAACTATAACCTAATCACCGAGACGGATAAGCCTATCATTTTAGAACTCGGCACATGTTCGGCATCTACAACCGAATTATCAGTCTCTTATAGCAACGAGTATCCAATAGAAACTTTGAATTCTTATGAATCTACAAGAAACGAAACTGCATTTACTACTGGCTTATGCGGGAGCAGTTTTGCACCAATTCCATCATCGTCAACGTCACCACAATCACCTTCCACGCCATCTGTGATATCAGGAAACTCGAATTTAATTAACAACACAAATTCGTTAATAGTTCCCGTCGAATCCGATGTTCCCTTATCGCCCGCTCTGTATTCTTGGCCCTCATCTAACCGTACACAGGCGATATCGTCACAAATTGAGGTCAAATTTAAATTAAGAAAGGAAATGGTCCCTTTGCCGACATATATATCGTATGCGGGCACTCATGAGCATATTATAAGCAAAGAAATTAATCCTTCAAGGAACGAAAGAGCACTGCAAAGTGAAAAAGGTAGTGAACTCATATCAATCAATATAAGACACAAATAGTGCAGGTAAATGCTGTTAATAATCGTCGATAGAAGTAGCATTTTCTTACAATAACGTTACATCCACGATAGTTCACGCGCATACAAATCCGTTGTCATATTTATGCTAATGTCGCAGTATGCTCTCAAAACGTAACGTATACAAAGATAATATGGTACATGCGTGGAATAATTTAACGAAACATGCTCGAGACATTTCCGTAACAATAATATAAGAAGCAGGAGTTTTCAAGTTTTTGTTAATTACCGAAAGATTATACTTCACCTCTGCCGAGTGCGAGAATAATGAGGTGAAAACTTTATCTCCGGACCATGGTTGCTGGTCTATTTTGTGTATGTCCATTCATAAAGAGTGTGAAGATCAATTCGAGTTGAACTAGTAAAGATACCTACCATTGCTGTTAACATACCCCCGTTAACAACTTAACAGAGCTCATGTTAAATAATTACAATTGAGATAGAGTTGGTTTGAAAGCCTAGTCCGTCCATATTAAAAAAAAGCAAATATTTTTGTGAACATTTTGTGAATCCATATAAAACTACCTTTCAAACAAACTAAACAAATTCAAATTCTGCTTATGGCAACTATTTTTAACGGTATATGAAATTTGGTATGTTAGCGGAACATGGATATGGAAGAACACCCAAATTTGACACTCTAGTGCGGCCAAACCAGAAAATGTCGCCTATATTCACCTATATCACGTGAATTATATAAAAGTACCTATCGAATGAGCAAAATGTTAAGTCATTAACAGAGGTATGTTAACAGAAATGGCAGGTGTCTTTACTAGTTAAACTCGAATTTATCTTCACGCCCTTCCATTCATATACCTCCTTGCAAGCTTTTAACTAATGTTAAGCTTTCTGCCATCCACGAACACACACACCCATCCATGTGGTCTTTCTATACATACGGCTCTAATCTCTATATAGGAAGTTTTGAAATGCCAATTCCAGTAGATGACGATAAAAATAATCTTGTACCTAAGCTATCGCTTTGGGTAGACTTTTTAGGCTACAATTATGATTTTGACAGATAGACATAAGTAGACATGTATATGTGTGGAATACACATCTGAAGACTACGTAATAAATATTTGAAAAACTTTATATATATCTTACGAAACATATTTTTTATGTTTTGTTTAATACCGCCAAGCAAGCACTACATAATAGAGCAGCCGTTCAAACAAAACTCTCTATACGTGCAATACAGTGATGGTGAGAAAGAAGTGGGAAAACGGAAAGAATGAAGGCGTGTTCTCTATAGATAAGCCTTTATCGGCTAGGCACTCACTATAGCTACAATCAAATATGGTCAAGCCGGACTAAAATTTGAACCCGTATCCACCGGCTAGGTAATCGCGGCTCTTGTCTGTTCGGCTATCCGGCAGCATATCTATAAAAAAAACCGATTATTTCAGGATTATAATAAACCTTTCCTATGATAACCTCTTTCAAAATATATCGACAACTTTTATCTAAGCCTGTAAAATTCAAAAAGTAATCTAGATGTACGTTTGATTAGATGACCATAAAGACTTATACGATTGCTTACTTAAAAGAAAAATTCGTATTAAAAGGAGAATATTTTTCTTTCTTAAAATTGAAACGAAAATATACTAAAAGAAAGATTCATTTACGCATCCGCGGAAATGTCTAGGAAGGATTTAAGAAAAAAAAATGAATTGGCACTGCGAGCATTGCGACAATCTGAACATTAAATTATCGTATATAGTCTATTTTCGTATTAGTATCTTAATTAATGCGATATTGCGATTGCAGAATATAAAAAGACTGCTTGTGACCGTGAACGCACCCGTATGCGAGATATGAACCGGGCATACGATCTATTGCGCTCCAAATTGCCAATATCTAAGCCAAATGGGAAAAAATTTTCAAAAATTGAAACTTTACGGTAAAATTTATTAATGCGTCATTTTTTAATTTAGTTCACCTTCGCCTTTACATTGGCTATCTTATTTATATTACAGAATTAGCATTGGCTATATAAAAGATTTGCTGCAACAACTTCAAGAAAATCCAGAGGATTATGATATATCTCCGTCTAAATCGAATCAAATTGTGAAATTCGTTGACTATAAATCTGCTCTCAATTCGCGTAAACGTTCGCAATCATTACAATATGAACAAAAATCTATCTATATTGATGAGAGCAGTAGCAAGGATATCGATGAAGCAAATATTAATTGGAACGATAGTTACTTGCTTAACGCTACTGATAAATGGGAATAACTTTTAACAATTAGTTACGAAATGCCAAAGAAATACAATAAAATAAATATATTAATAATGCTGTTGATTAAGTGAATACGGAAAGAAAGATTATTGGTTCACATGTGTTTTTTTAAAGTTTTGCATTTTAATATTATATTGATACATGTATGTATGTATGCCTTGTGCAAACAAAACTCAAACGACGTCATAAGAGAAACGATCCAAATCTTGAAAATTTTTTTTCTCATTCCTTTTATCCAATTTTTTTTTTATTTATTTATTTTTTTTTTTGTTAATTATTGCTTAGAAAATTCTGCATATTATAGAGTGAATAGAGTGTTGCATAAATTTGAATATTTTTCAATTTATATTACAATTGTATACTAACTCTCTTGAAGTTGTGCCCCCATTGTCAAATAAAATTATAAGAATATTAAAAATACTTTTCACTTACATTGTGTTTAATATCCGGTTATTTTAAATATTTCTTTGTATCGTGAGCATTCTTTAAAACAGAGTTGTTAAGCTAATACGTTGAGGAAATGCAACATTATTCCCAACTAACGGCAATACTGTTCGATAAATTTTTGACAAAATACGTGGCTGTAAAACAAAAAAACAAAAAAAAAAAATTATTTCTTAAGCATAACAAATTATATTTAATTATAAGCAAATTCGCATCGAATAATAAAAGAAATTGAAAAATGAAGACAGAACTTTATTTCATATTTTTATTATTAACGTTAATGCAATTCTTGCAGCATATTCAAGCATTCATTGTTAACGTTGATGCCCACAATGAGGAATGCTTTTTCGAGAAAATTGAAACTGGAACAAAATTTAGTAAGAAATAAAATGAGTTTTTCATCAAATTCAAAAATTTGTAGACAATACAAAAGTTTATTCTCAGGTATAACATTTGAGGTGATTGAAGGAGGATTTTTGGATATTGACATAAAAATAATTGGCCCAGATCACGGTGTAATACATGAAAGCGAGAAAGAGTCTTCGAGTAGATTGGCTTTTGTCGCTGCTACGGCCGGCATTTATACTGTTTGCTTTGACAATCAAAAGAGTAGCATGACACCGAAACTAGTTATGTTCTCAATAGACGTAGATGAATCACCACATCGTGCACCAGGCGCTCCGGGCGAAGATGAAGTAGGTCATACCAAATTAGAAGATATGATACGTGAATTATCTGGTACCTTAACCAGCGTGAAACATGAACAAGAGTATATGCACGTAAGTTAAAATTGAATGAATTGATTGCATTTTAGTTATCATTTCTTAAATTCATTTAAGGTTCGTGATAAAATTCATCGCACAATTAATGAAAGCACGAATTCTCGTGTTGTGTTATGGTCAACTTTTGAAGCATTGGTCTTAGTGTTAATGACAATTGGTCAAGTGTACTACTTGAAGCGTTTCTTCGAAGTGAAACGCGTGGTGTAGATTAACGGATCATATCGTAGTATAAGAAATTCTTGTGTAATTTATCCCAAAAACTCATTTCCTGCTTCTTTTGTTTTTCAACAAATTAATTCATTTTCTATTGCCTCGTAGGTAAATCGATTGTAATATTACATATAATATATGAACACTATCTCAATACACACTTTAATTCGGCTTAATTTCTTTTTAATTTATTTGAAGTCATGTTAGAGCTAAAAGTAGATTAATTTCTTAAAGCGCATACGAATTATGGCGAAGAAATTTTAGACTTTATATAGTAAAATTATTCCGAATGATGAGCCTTATTTTCCTTTGACGAAACCCGTAGCACTTATTTGCAATAAAATATATCTTTCATATTGTGCGACTAACATATATCTTGTATATAAGTATTCTAATTGGAAGAAAGGCATGTTACATATTATGACGCTTTATAACAAAATAATTGAGATAAGAATTTCAAATGTGATCTTGGGAAGAAACCACAAATTTCGGAGCCGTGTGTAATCTGCTGGATCAAAAATTTGAACAATGCATCAATGAACCGGCCCAAGTAAGTAGCACTGAGGCAACTTTGCTTAGCTTTAATAAAAGCATGCCTTGGATGATAATAAAAACGAGTTTAAAAGACATGACTGGAGTAAAGGTTCTATAAAGAGAGATCTGTCCAACAATTATTTATTTACGTTGTAATTATTAATAAGTTATTCTGTGTTTACTTGATTACATTACTAGAGACTGAGCATTTCCTTGCCGTTGTGAATGATTACAATGTTTCTTATTTCATAAAGTAGAGTAGTGTGAGGACAAAAGCTGAAAATTAATGGACATGAAAACTGCAGAAGCCTGCTTTTCAGTACATAATCATGGATCCTCGAATTGTGTATTTTGTTGGATTTCGAGCAACTACTTGGAAAATTTAGGATTTTCAAGTGAAGCGATCTCTTTGCTATCTATATTCTATCAAGAAAAAAGATAACTGTGCAATATATAAAAGTCGATGTAGCGTATTGGAGGAAGCTTTGGTGTTTGGAAGTCGTCAAATAAAAGAGAAGAGGTAACGGTAATTTTAATATTATGTTAATATTATGCTCCATTCGAGAATACGACGCGGAATGAAAGCAGACGTAGCAACAACATGCAACTTTGCAGCAACGAGGGCTTCTATGTCAAACAATGCAATCCCCAAACTCGCCTCCGCGTACATCGAAAGACGTACGTATTGCGATTCCGAAATCACATTCAACATTAACTAAGACTACAAATGTAATGCTAACAACTAAAAAAAGGTTACTTGGATTATACTGTGAACTTCATAGCATTGGAATGTTCAGCGGAAAGTTTTTAAAATGTTTAATTAAATCTATAGTTTAGAGTCCATTAACAGTAAACTGCTGTCACTATTCGAACCTTAGCTATATCTAAATATATAAGTCAGTAAGGAAACGTCTATATATTTTTTTTCAAAATCTTCGTGTCTTTAATTCCACTTGCATGTCAAATTATTTAAAATTTCGTTATTCGTTGATTACGATTAATGTTTTCGAGTGATTTAATATTTTCATTGAATATTTCATTATTTAAAGATTACTGCTTGGAGCATTACTGTTATCAATTTTTGATCGATTCGATTTTTTCGAAATCCGTTGCTAGTTCTTGGAGTGATTTGTTTGGTCAATTCCAATAGCGAGCGAGACTCAATTATATCGAATAGATGCTTTCACGACTATGGTGTTCAAGACATATGAACATAGCAAAATGTCTGAGTGTTTGAATGTGTTTATAAAAGTCGAACCATATGTGGGGGTTTTTCCTTTTATAGAACGCTGGATTCATTTATAGCCAAATTACGTGCAGCAATAATGAGTTTAAGCAATACCACGTCTGTAATGCGCACGCGCGTTTCAATGAAAATATCAACTTGTATTTCTTCTTATGTAATTTTTGTCTCATTCTCAGTTAACACAATGAACATTAAGTGTAGAGGTTAAACAATTGCCATACATTTATCTAACAACGTTTTTTGCCGTCCAACAACACGTTTAACGAACACGAACGAATCTAAGGATGAACAATTTGCGGTACAAGGGTATACATTACCGCAAACTTCATGAAATCGAAATGTCAGTGTAATTGTGGATTGGTCTTCTACACTTTTTCAGCATGAGAAATACTTGCATTAATATTGCGAAGTCAATGTTTGTTTGTTTATTTTATTTAAAATTTTATTTATATGAGAAAATTTACTAAAATTTAATGAATACTTTTTTATTAAAGTATATATTAAATATATAGAATATGGATGGAAGAATCCAACTACGGATAATATGATGGATGTTTTGTCGATATTCTCGTCTTCTGTTTCTCTTTATTGTCAAAAATATTTTCTTTTTTTTTATCAAATTGACGATTCCTTCTAATAAGATATTTTTCAGTTAGCGCCACATTTCTGTCTTGAAAGAATTTTATTCAGTGTTTATTAGAAATAAACACAAAAGTAATCGAAATTCATTAGAAAAAATTGCAAGAATATATAGTAAAAGTTTCTTATTTGCGGGGGATACGTGCCGCGAATATGGAATTTGTGTTGGATACCTATTAGAATCCTTTCATTCTTATATATGTACTCATACGGAATCCGCGAATAAAGAAATTTATAGCCGCGAATAGAGGAATTGTATCGCATTTTTTTAACCCGCAAATAAGGAAATCGCGAATAAAGCAAGCGCGAATAAGGAACTGTTACTGTACTCAGATTTTAACGATAATATTGAATACATTTTCGAGTAAGTTATTAAGATCACTAGTAAAGAAAGAAATATTAATTTTAATTTGTCGAAACTACGACGAGGTTGTCGTTATTTCTATGGCCAGGTGCTTTTATTTAAATGTTACTTTGTAACACAGTTTTCTTATCGCCTTCGTATTCGTATTGCTAAAGACTTGAACTTTCCTAATGAAACATGAATTAAGGGGTAGATAAGAAAAACTCGAATGTGTTATATAAATAGGATTATGATAATAATAGAAGTACTGATAAAAATTTCCTTGCATTCCTAATTATTCTTATATGTAGCGGAAAAGTCACAAACAATTTACATCCGATTCAAGTTTCAGGGCGCAACCTTTTTCCGAAGGGCTTACCTATATAGAATGTGGTCCAAGAAATATTCCCATTTGATTGAAATTTGGTCCATCGAATTATAATAATAATGAACAATCTTTTCATCATAAAACATTAAAAATATTTTCTCATACAAGGTTGACCCGTTCTTATATAGAGTGTCTTGTTATCTTTGCATGTAAAAAAAAAAAAAAAAAATATATATATATACTACTACTTCTAATTCTTTTGGTGTTAAATATAAGATTTTGAGTTAATGAAGATACATTTTAAAGTCATTCAATTCTTTTGAATTTAAATAAAAATATGTAATATTTTAATATTTTAACTTTACGCTACTACTACTACTACTACAAATTGACGATCCTGCTTAAAATAAAACCGTAATAGAAACTTTTAACCCTTGTGACCAAGTGTTGTCCTCATCCTAAGCTGAAGAACGTGTGAAATCAATCTTAAAAAAAAAAAAAAAAAAAATTAAAAAAAAAAAAACAAAACAACATATACATACAGGCGTCCAGATAGTGAATAGCAATCTTAAAAATTATTATTCAATTACATCAAGTCGACCGCCCTTGAGGATATGTATGGATTTGTGTGGCGTTTTATGGGTTTCATTGAATCGTACATATGTGCAAACGTATATCACGAACTTCATGCGCGAAATGTAATCGATCTTCTAAGGCTGTCATCAGCAAAAGAACCCGTATTTAAGTATAGTCCTAAGAATGGCGGAGTTGTTTGAACAAAGAATAAGTCATCTATTGAAACGTTTGTCACTTAGATGAAAGGAATTTTAAACTAAAACTGCAAAATATTTCCTGAGCAAGTTTTTTTGCACGGGGACGACTCCCTGCATATTGCATCTCTGAAAATTGCGTCAGTTATTGTTGGATGGTTTTATTTGATTGGAACAAACCAAACCCATCTAACCGCCTTCTCGAATAAACTGGAAATGTACACTTGACAAAAATTTATTTATGAATATAGCAAATAAATGGATAGATGATCAAGTTTGTGTATATATGTTGTTAGATATTCAATTATTAACTTACTTCTATTAAGCAAAAACATTAATTATCATACAAGATTACAAAAATCATTTAATTTCTTTTGTAATTATTTCAAATTTTCACAAAGTTTTTCGATACGCTATAGGTTTTGTGTTCTCACAAAAAAAAAAAAAAAAAAAAATTAAAATACAAAATAAAGATGATGGGAAATTTTTTCAAACACCCATTAGCACTATCACAAAATGACAGAACGCACTAACGCACAAAGACAAGTTGACAGCTTAAATAATAAATGCATATAAAAAAGCAACGAAAATTTTATATTCGACTTGAGACGAATCTTGAATACTTGTCATAGTTGCAACACTTGTAATTTCCTTTATTTTTATTATTAATTGTGGGCATGCCATTTACTGCTTGGTGTAAAATTTTAGATCGGTATGTGGTGTAATGCTTAGGTTAAGAATACTGCCTTTGTTTTGAAAAAAACTTCAACATAAGTTTCACAAAATAGTTCGCTCTGCATAGCATCTTCGCGAACATGTTTCACCCCAGCAGACTAACACAGGTAACACGTGAGCCCTTCTCACGATAGGAATAAGTGGATATCTACAGCAAAGCCATAAAATTTTCAAACAAATAAACAAAAATTTCGAATTCATCAAAGGTTTATGTGTTTGTTCGATTAAGTCCACTTCAAAATCAAGTTCAAATTAGTTATATTTTATAATTATAGAAGGCAGAGATAGGAAGAGATAGTCAGTTATATCCTCTGCATGTTACAAATAGGAAGACAAACTTAGCATACCTATGCACTTTGGGTGGTAGGTATAGAAACAAATTTTGCGATATTTAGCTTTTTATGTGTAAAAACAATTAGCTTAATAAGAGAAGCGGTAAATAATTGCATTTGTATGTGTTTGTGCGATCTTTGCTTGTTGTTTCTGTTGCTCTTTAGCGGAGGCGAACGCTAATTGATTTCTTTTAACAAATGTCGCACAAAACATTTACACATTTTATGATTGTTTTGTA